AGATGCGGGTCAATGCATCTCCCACGACGGCGCTACGCAGCCATCCGACGTCAGTGAAGTTTACGAAACAGAGCAAGAAACCGAAACAACACAAGAAGTATGGAAAGCAACACAAGACGATGGTTTGGCAACACAAGGTGTGAACCCGAAAGTACCCCCGCCGCGTGGGGTTGAGCGGAGTGGAGTGCGATCTCGGACTAAAAAGCCGCGGGTTGTATATGTTAAGCTGAGGCGACATGAACAGGCAAATGTGGTTATGTTATCATCGGAAGAGAAGTACTGCCTAGCAAAAGCTGCGTTCGAGCCAGTAATTGAGTACCTTGCCGGATTAACCAGTCCAGCATTCTACCCAGCACTGCAATCGTGGAAAGAGATAGTTCGCAATGGCATGCAAAAGCTACCAACATACACGTCAGGTGCGACAACGATGCCCGACGATAGCACGGACGATACTGCGGCTCTTGGTGATGCTAACGAGAGTAATACAGGATCTGACATTGATCCAGCTGATTTCATCGACACAATGGCAATGATTCGTGACATGGAGCAAGCTGAACACGGTCTACTAGTTGCGGGAGGCAATGTACAGCCCCCCCCATGACCACGAGCGACAACATTTCGTGAAGTCGGATTCCAAAGCAAGCACCACAAGCCGTAAATCAACCAGCACAAGCTGCAACACCAAGCTCCTAACTTTGACGCAAACGTGGGAGACAAAACTGGATTCGTCTGAGTCGGGGTCTACGCCGCCTAAGCAAAAAATGCTACTGACAAAGGAAATTGTACAAACAAAGGCAAAGGCTGTTTCAAAACCACCTGCGCGAAAAACGACAAGATAGAAGTACTTCAGCTACCCAAAGCTAAGCCCCGGCACAATCAACAAAAGAAGGTGAAACAGGCGCGGATAAAAGCGGTGGCGAAGCCGCAACGACTAGCAGCTATTACACTTCCAGACAAAAGTGCACCAGTACTTTCGCGAGTACTCGAGTGGGCAAACAATACAAATGACGTCGAGTACGTCCGATCAATTCTGGCAACTTACCCTACTGCCATGACGGACGACTTCATCGGCGCACGGGCTGCGCGCAGTCAACGAGCCTACGTGCGAGCAGAACAGTTCGACTACAACTTCGTTGTGCCCAAGCACCTGGTGACAAAGCTGAGTGCAGTTATACAAGAAGAGAAGAACAAGCGATCCAAACCCAAATATTTCGCCAATAATTCCGACTCGGAGCACTCGGAAGGAACGACTAAGGAGATCGTAGCTTTCTTCTCGGGTGGAACTCCGAAGCTCACCAGGTTCGTACTTCGCAATGCTGCTCATCAGGTTGTGTTGTTTCATGTGTTGCTCACGTTTTTGTGTTGTTTCTTGTGCTGCACTCTTTGGATTGTATGTCTAGCAGGGCTGTGTACCGAATGAAAGAGTTCTACAACATTTGCGCAAAATGCACTGCATGGTACGCAGATGTGGAATGGCTTCTATCAACTAAGTGGGAAACGATGCTCGATACGCCAATGTTGTTTGACGAAGAGACTGATTTGGAAGTATTATTCCCTTCCGAAGCAGGCGAGAAACACAAAGATTTGACGAACGAAGCGGCAAATATTCTGCGCGGATCTTGCCTTAACTCCGAATTTAGGCTTACGAGTGCTGCGTGCTCTATCAGGGTGGATAATATGGTGGGAAGCCTGGCCCGGACTCGAATGTTAAACGACCTCATGATTGACTTTACTATTCGCTGCATCTGCGGTGCGCTTGGCGACAGCTACGCGCTGAGCTCGTTCGCTCCGACTATGGGATGCCCAAGCCCTCCGAAGACACGAATATCGTCAACAATTATGTGGTGTTGCCAGTTCACTTAAACGAAAATCACTGGGGCGTCATCATTGTTAGACTGGCCTATCAACAGGAAACGCCCAGCATCACACCGTACTATCACGAACCCTTGTGTGGGACGGAATTTCTAGCAACAATAGAAGCCATTTTCCAGGACACAATGGCTAAATTTTTACGAAACTGGCATCATGAGACCATGCAAGCTACTGATTTTCCTGTCGTCGAAAATGGCGTGTGACTCAATGCGCCAACACAGCCAGATGGATCTTCATGCGGGGTGTTGTGTATCGCCCAAACATATGCAGTACTCAAGGATAGCACCGCTTTTGCTAGCGCAACCGTCACACAAGACGATGTCGCCATCATGCGACTGCGTATCATGTGGATAATTTTGATGCAGCCAGAGGTGACTACGAAGTCAAATAAGCGAGCGAAAGCGGTAGAAGCGACCGGTCACGAACTGTTTTCAGCGTTTAAAATATAATATGCATTCGTTTGTCGTCTTAACTTTGCTACGTAAACCTCCTTATGCCTCCTTTATCGCTTTTGTAATTTGTTTACAAAGCCTGATCCAGCAAAATACTGCAGCACTCCTCGAGCGCCACAGCATACGATACAACGTATCCGACGTCGTGAGCAGAAGCCCCGGTCGCAGCTGCTAGACGCATTGTATCTTGCTTTTCGCGTGCGAGTATAACAGCAATCTCCTCATGGAGATCCATCAGCTTTAGCGAAAACTCGGAAAGTCGCTCGAGCTTCTCCCCCAGTAGCTCGATTTGCTGCAGTCGAGACCGTAGCAGCTCCTTGCACATCCGCTCCTTGTGGCGGGGATTGCGTCGGGGGACCTCGTCGTCAGTTAAAAGCGTCCGGTAGGTGCTAGCTGAATCGTCCATGGAGCCCAAGTTGGCTTGGTCACTGCGAGTCTTTTTTTTCGAGTGATGAATGAGCACTAATAATGTAAATTTTGTGAATCAGCGGAGTGGGAACTTTGACAATAACGCTAATCTATCAGACCCCGGATAATTAGTTTACCGAGCTGTGTTGCTTTGACACATTTTTTATGTTGTTCCTTGTGTCATGAGGGGCAGATGTGCTGCCGTAAGAGCTGTCGTCTTGTCGACATTGTGCTGCGGTAACGTCGTTCGGAATTGAAATAGAGATTGAAAGAGAGAGCTTATAGAACTTTTTTCTTGACGATCATGTGCTCGATTGAACCCTGCTGCTTTTCAAATTTACAACTCGATCAAGTCTTACTCGAGCTGTGGATATTGCTGCAAGATGGTATTAATACACACTATGGATAAGATGTTGGAGAACTATATCAGTGCTATTGCTGACCGCATCCTAATTTTTATCAAGCATAGTCTAATCGGGTGTGGGATTTTTTTTCAGATGCAGTTCGTCGTCGCTATCAACCGTTTGTGTAACGTAGATGCTGGCGTTGATTATGGTCTGAGGAATTACCTATAGCAAGTAGGTTGGATCCAGATTGACTAACCTACTTATAAAAAGGTATAATTAGGAACAAGAAGTTGAGGGTTAGATAGGATATAAAGACGTTTTACAAGACGATGCAGCAACACAACAAAACGCTATCGATGTAAATAGGTTTATTAATCTATCTACGATGTCCGAGCGAGTCGCTTGCCCTGTTTGCGGTCGAGTTCTGTCAGCACATAGCCTCAGAAAGCGTGTCGGTCGCCACGTCTGCCTGGAGCAGCATGACCCGACTCTCAAGGCCCGCCGACTTCAGGAAGCTCGAGCAGCCAAGCTTGCTTACGACCGTCGATTATCAAGAGATCGGCGTGGGGCTCTCGAGCAGCTTGCGCTGCGGCTGGTCCAGCGTCAAGATCCTAGTCCTTCTCCACCCATCCAGAGCTCTACGAGCTCAGTTCCAGCAGCAGTACCAATTCCCGTCGTAGAATTAAGAGGGCGACACCAACAGAGCCCCCCCCCCTTCCACCGTTTGAAGAACCCCCAGCAACAAGAAGATCGCGGCGTATGCAGCCTGCGGCTCCTGTCATCATCGAAATATCCGATGACGATGATGACATGCCCCGCAGAGACGAGGATACTGCCACCTCCAACGACTGGTTCATTTGCTTGGGTGTCCTTGAGAATCCGGTAACCCCGCCAAATTGCCTACACGCTGCATGCAGAGAATGTATGTCAGTACTTGTCGCCCATGCACTCAGCGAGCAGAACACACCTCTGTACCCACAATGCCGTGGGGTTATTCATATGTGAATTCCCTAACCTTTTTTCATAGAATAGCAGATTTCAATTTTTCAATTTTTTAAGAAATTATACATGTACCCATACAAACTGTGACGATCAGGTGTGTTGCTCTTCGACTTTGATGCACTCGATTTCCCGGGAGTAGTTGTGCTAGGTACAGTCACATTCAACGGTGCAGGTGTATGGTCTCGACTCCTTGAGTTAGATGGCATAAGCCGGTCTCTTTCAGAAAAATGGTGACACGTTTGCAGTTTCCGACATTTTGGTTTGGCTAACAGTGCACGTATGGAGTCTTTGCTAGAGCGCAGAATATGATGAATGAATAGATGTGAGCACCTCGTCCTGGCAAGGCGATGGGGTTTCAAAACTGATTAGCCAGGAGAAGTTGCGAAACGGACTGGCTGTAGAGCGGTCATGTCTTCTTTTAGCTCGATCAAGTGGAGAATGTTTCCTGGGTGAGTTCCACTGGAAAAACTAGGTAGTACTAGCAGTAGCAATAATAAGTATGATCGTACGCTTGGGCCTGTGTGGCCTTGTGCGGGTCGTACGATATTACTTTTAAGACTTTAATATATGTTCTTAAATTTTAAACGGTCATTCTAAGTTTGGTTATTTGTTACGCATTAGGTATATTTTTGGTTCCAGTCTACTTATTTTTGAAAAACGCACCTACTTATTTTTTTTCCATTTTGGATCCAACCTACTTGCTAAAGTTAATTCCTCATTATGGTCTACCCGTTCACCTCGGATTGGTATTTACTGGCGCTAAAGGTAGAAGAATACCAGCTGAGTACGAGCCGGAAGCGGCTTCCGAGTCGAGACATGTACACAAATGCATCCTTTCTACTTCGCAAACGATTTTATGAGTCATTTACTTTAAATGAGGAGAGATAAAGATGACTTTGTTAAGGAAAGTCTATTGCTACTATTTCCATATTTCCTTGTAGTCCGTGTACTTCTGGAACTGCTTGCTTACGTAGGCGTTTGTTGACCGCGACTTTATTTCCTGTTCATGCAATTTCTTCAGATTCAAAATGTCGTGCAGCTTCTCGGGATGGACTTTGGTCTTCTTATACAGCGTTTTAGCGGAGACGTCCCTCTTCAGTAACTTTTCCACTTTCGCCGAGTTTCGTTTATCTTGCAAGATCTTCATACGTTTGATGATGTTCGAGATTGATCTTGCTTCATCATCGTGATGCTCTCTTAAGTTTCGAGCGGTACGGAAGCCGTCGATATTGTCTACGGCTTTAGTCGTAGACATGAGTGCAGTAGCGACGAGTAGAATGAAGAAGCTGACGCGCATAGTCGAGAGGTGTACCAAAGGCAAGACAAATTGGTTAATGGCCATTAAAATGAGAGGCAAGGTAAAGAAAGGTGAGTTGATTGCGAGATTTCTGTCATCAGCTTTCAAATCACCGGTTAACCTGAAACAACATAATCATGTTTGTGTACGTCAAAACATCGTTCTCGCGTTTATTATCATGGACTAAACATTGTACTGTAAATCGAAATAATTTCATTTTGCTCAGCACGAGACTAGACTGGGACCTTACGTTTCACGTGTCAGCTCATCCACCAAAGCACAGAGCCCTCTTTGTATTCCGAAAATGGAACGAAGTAGTCCAGATAAATATTCACTCCGAAAAAAAAATGAGGGCCACGTCAGAGTAATGTATCCGGCCGTAGCCTTAACTTTTTTCGACAAAATCGTGATTCACACGGAGAAGCTCTGGATTTACAACTGTGTGCAGGGCGCTTCCTAAGTGGCATTACAGTAATTCGCGTCCTCTGACAAGAATAGAGAATTAAGGCTCAAAGTGCCAGAAATGGGTTAAACTCAATTGCTCTGTACAAATTGAGCCTCACATCCGTTCCTTATTGACGCACATTACTGTTTACAATTACTGCAGTCATGCATTCCGCTGGATGCGTTGTTCTAGCAGTATATATGCGACCATACTGTGCGAGTCGCACAGCGATCACACACAAGTAAGCTTTAGTCTACATTCACGCGGATTAAATTACTTCTGTTAGTCGTAATTTACAGTGAGGTTACCCTTGGCCACATGCAACATTCACCTGGAAAGAAAATCAGATATTCAGCACCAACTAAGTCTATCTCCACTCCTGGTTGCTATCCCGATTGCTATCGGTCATTCGTGATTGGCTGTTGCTATTGACTGAACGTTTAGCAATAGCGACTCCTCGCCGACTCCACTCGTCAGATTGCTTGTTCACCTACGGAAGGCACAATGGAGAGCAGCGACGAGGAAGTTTACCTACTCCTTGATAACGACGACGACTTTCTTGCCGCTGCCTGTGTGCTGGTAAGTGCTGAGCAAGGGCTGTGTTCAGTACAGTCTTTACAGCGGCAAGGCTCGCAAAAAGGAAGACCCAAGACCAGCGCCCGTAACATCGCCTCGCGACTACCTTGGCGAAAACCCCGTGTACGATGAGAAGAAGTTTCGACGGCGGCATTGTGTCTCTTTAGCCGTGTTTTACAGGCTCTGCACGGCTCTATCATCTCACGATCGATTTTTCCAGCAGCACCCCGATGCTGTCGGCCAAATGGGAGCTTCGGTGGAGCAAAAGGTTGCCGCTTCGCTTCACATGTTGTCAGAAGATAATTCGGCAGATGCCCAGGACGCATACTACCGTATCAGCGAGTCACTTATGTCACCATGCTTCAAGAAGTTTTGCAAAGCAGTCGTCGAGGTTTTAGGTGGTGAGTTTCTTCGACCGCCATCGTATGAAGATACAAGAACTATCCTAACATTCAACGCCAACAGAGGCCTACCTGGTCTATTCGGCTCGCTAGACTGCTTTCATTGGCAGTGGTCGGCATGTCCAAACGCCTGGAAGGGCTACTACCAGGGGAAAAACAAGAAGCCCACCGTCGTTTTGGAGGCTGTTGCGACAGCAGACAGGTGGATTTGGCACAGTTTCTTCGGAATGCCAGGTTCGGCAAATGATATTAATGTTTTAGATCGTTCGCCTTTCATTGCAAAAATCCTGAGTGGAGCTATCTCGCAAGGGCAGTACCAATTGCAGTCAGTCACTCGTACACAACCATACTACTTTGTTGACGGCATTTACCCTCCATGGCATATATTGATAGCCGCGCACTCCAGTCCATCCAACCCGCGGGAACGCTGCTTTGCAGAAGTACAGGAATCAGTGCGTAAGGAAATTGAATGTGCTTTCGGAATGCTGCGAAAGCGGTTTGGAATTTTGAATCGGCCGTGTCGTTTGTGGAAACCGAATGAAATGGAAGATGTAATGCTCTGCTGTTTAATTCTACATAACATGCGCATTTTTCACAAAGGTAAAGCAATTGTCAACACGAGTATCTCACGGCCAGTTGAAATGGTGCGTTCATTTGGAGATAATCACGAAGAGCCTCCAACAGAATCTGAGGATATAAGGCAATATGCAGCTCGGTTAAGCCGAATTACAAACGAGGCCAATAATGCAGAGCTTCGTAATGCGCTTGTTGAGCACTACTGGAACTTTCACGGGTCCAGATCGGCCCTAGGTCAACACTGAGTCTGCTGCCACGTCACCACCAGGATTATGATCACGGTTTTCTGCTTCAACTTCAGCCTCGTCAGTTTGGCCAACTGCGCAACCACCATCGACAAGTTCTGCAGACGCCAACATTTGAGCAGTCTCAAGACTGCGTACTTGTTCAGCAAGCTGTAGCATTTTTTTCTTCTGTAACAAATCCATGAATTGCGTTGCTTCTTGTGATCTAGAAGAGGTCTCAAAAAGGGCGAATAGCTAGCTCTTCATCACGCAGCTCATTTTACGCGTCATCTCTGCCAGCACTCTCTCGTGCTTCTCCGTGATACGGCTGAGTAGCTGGCGTAGGAGCGATGACGTCGATTCTAAAGCTGAATCCTGAACTCGTGCTTTCTTGGCTTGATCCTGTCCTTGTGGACGCTCACTAGTCTCTTTCTCTGGCTCCGGCACAGCGTCACGGCTACGCTTTTGACGAGCAGGTAAGCCAAACGCAGCAAACTTGCGGCAGCTTTTCAAGATCATCCAGCACGACAAATACTCGAGCCTACTTCCATGAGTTTCCTGGAACAATGCGACAGCATCATTGACAACATCGTCATCATTCTTCCCCGATTTATTGCGAGCTTTCACGCGAGAAACACACCCAGCGAACTTGGCCGTGTCATGAGAAATTAAGCTCCAGCGGTTTTTGATGGCCTGCAAGGTCCGAGAGTCGCCGCCGAAAGCTGTTGCTGTACGCTGGCACACATTCTCCCAGAAAGCAGTAGCCTTTTGATCAGTCCTCTGGATGGAGTTTTCAGCGGCAGCCTTGTTCGCACGAGCCAGAGCCTCGTCCTCCTGATCGCACCACCTCTTGCCTCTCCCCATGATGCTGCGCGATCTTTCTGTTGTGCCAGTTTCTATTTTTGCACCTTAGTTGCTATTCGGGCCTCGAATAGCAACAAAAGTCGAGTTGCTATTCTATCATAGCAATAGCAACCCCGACTGGAGATAGCAGATTGTAATATTTTCTATTTAGCAATATAAGCTTAAATAGCAACTTGAGTGGAGATAGCCTAAGTTACTTATTTAAAAGAGCGAGTCGATATCTAGGCGTAGGTGTATCTTTCACGATACCAAAACGAGTTTTGTAACCCTTACCCGGACCTACAAGTTTTGTTTGGCCGTGAAAATGAGCTGTTACTTCTTTCTGGGCAACAGCAACCGAATGGCAGAACTTGCGCAGCGACCATCAGCGGCGTGAATCCCCTTCTATCCTTCAATTTGACGTTGGCTCCACGGCCGACAAGCATTTTCACGACATCATTGGCCCCATTCTTCACAGCAAGATGCAAGGGCGTCCGCTTGCAATGGTCGTTGGCATCAATGCTAGCTCCTTCATCCACAAGTAGCTTAAACGCGTCTGTATTTCCTCGCGTAGCTGCCATCAGAAGCGGTGTAGCTCCGTAACAATTCTTTGGGTCGATTGCAGCGCCGTGCATCACGAGGAACCGGCATGTCAAAGCGCATCCGTTGCATGCAGCATAGTGCAATGCAGTATTTCCATTCGCTGTCTTCGTGTTAGCATTCGCATTCTTCTGTAGCAGAATCAATGCGATGTCGTGCAGTCCAAAATCGGCCGCTACTGTCAACGGTGTCCAACCCCGCTCATCTGCTTTATCCCGATTGCAACAAGAGTTTACACGTTGCCAAGTGCCCTTCTCTCACTGCAAGATGCAGCACAGAGCTACCGTCCGTCGTACGAACGTCCACGTTTGCACTTCGAGAGATCAGTTGGCCAACCGCCGCATCTTTTCCTTCTTGTGAAGCGATCATAAGTGGGGTGAACCTCTTGTCGTCAACGGCATCGACACACTTAACTCGATCCAAGAGTAAATGCAGAATATCGTCGACACCATTCTCCACTGCTAGATGAAGCAGACTTCTCGAGTCTGTCGTAAAGCGGGCGTCTGCTCCGTTCTGCAAAAGTAGTTTGGTGACGTCTGTGTGTCCCCTTTGGACAGCTTTCGTCAACGCGTTCAAGCCGGCGTAGTCTACCGAATTCACATCGGCGCCACCTCCAATCAGAACACGACAGGCATCAAGACGTCCGTTGTACGCTGCCAAATGCAGCGCCGTGCTCCCGTCCTTCGCTGTGGCATCCACACGAGACCCTCGCTTGAAAATCACCCTCAGAATGCTGTCGTTACCCGCACGAGCGGCGGTCATTAACGGTGTAAGCCCCTGCGAGTCCGTTATATAAACGCAGACATCTTGATCTCTATCCAGCAACAGCTTCACTACTGCGAGCTCCGTCCTCTCTGCTGCGAAGTGTAATGGTGTGCGTCCATACTTATGTGACAGAGAAAGACAAGCTCCCCTCGATTGGAGCAAGTCGACTACAGCTAGGTGCTCTTCTCGAACAGCTTCCATCATCGGTGTCATCAATTTGTCACCTGCGGCGTCGACCTTGGCTCCTGCATCAAGGAGCAATTGAGAAACCTGAAGTCTCCCGTTTCTAGCAGCGTAGTGGAGAGCGGTCGCTCTCTTGTTCGTTCGTGCGTGAGTGTCTGCACCCCAGTCCAGCAAGAGTTGAGCCGAGCCGATATGGCCACACATAGCTGCATACATTAGCGGTGTCGCGTCGTTCTCGGGTTGAAAATCTTTATCAGCTCCGTAGTCAAGCAACACGCTAGCAACCTCGGCTCGGCCACATGCGACCGCGAAAGAAAGAGCCTCGTTCAGATACGTATCAAAGCCCAACGACTCCGACGAAGAAGCAACTTCAGATTCTTTATGATGCGCTAGAAAGTCAACGACCTCAGCATCTCCACGCCACGCAGCTAGCACGATGGGCGTCATTCCTTTTTCGTCCTTACACGTGACATCAGCGCGGTTCTTTACAGCGCGTCTCACGTCCCGCAATCGCCCTCTCACCACCGCTTCCAATAGCGCGACGTTGGCAGCAAGACTCTTTGTCATTTTTGATAAATGAGAGCTGATGCAAACGGATGAAAGTACTCGACTTGCACAAGCTAACTGTCGGACGTTTGATTGCCAGCCGAACAAAAAAACAGTACAGTCAATCATCGTGAATCACACGCTACATGTAGATGGCGCAGCTTCACTTCTAACTTGGACAAGTCGGCGAAGCGACAATACCACGACTTGTGGAAAATAATACAACTTGTGGTACTTTTGCACTCTCTCACTGCTTCCTGCTTTAGACATTTTTATTTACTGCTAGCATGATTCAATGGCGGTATAAGATACTTTCATGGAAAAGCACAAGGACTTCCACCACCAACCAACTTGGGTAATGGTTGTCAAATCCCGGTGTGGCACACTATGGGCACGCATTCACTTCAACATGGCTTCAAATATGCGACATGTGCTCTGTAACACCACCTGATTCGCCAAAAAGAAAACGTCGCCATTAAATAATTACTTCATAATCATGGAGCATCCTGCACTTAAGTACTACAAACATTTCCACTCATTCGTACCTCCAATCAGATTTCGTTTTGCCAATAAACGTAACCAACCCCAGACACTTCCCTTTCTGTACCCCAAGGGAGAAAACGGCGAAGAATCTCCTCAACGCGCCGCTCCTTACGCCTCAACGCGCGTCTCCAGCAGCTCTGCCGTCCTCGTGCACTCTTCATTGGCCTGTCGGCCGCAATCTTGGCGTCGCTCGCGCTTCGTTCGCGCCTCCAGGAGCTCCAAAAAGCTGCCTATTTAAAACGTTAAAGACACTTAAGAAGTTTTAAAGCTTGGGACTGAAAATTCCTCGAGTTGAAGGACATGGAAGCCGTACGAAAGCGTCCGCCACGCGCTAAAGCCGCCAAGAAGCCGCCGAAGCAGCAGGAGGTGGACGCAGCACCGAGTTTCAGCGAGGACGAGGAGGACGCCGCAGTGCAGGCCGCGATCGCTGAGCTGGACGCTGAGACAACGGACCAGGAGATCCGTCGCAACGAGGAAGACCTGATGACCTTATTACAGGACGGAGGAAGGGAGCAGGAGCTTCTGGTCGCTGAAGGAGCAGACTCGCAACCTCCCAACAATGATAATGACAGGGAAGAGAAGGACCTCGAGGATAAAAGTACAGATGCAGGCGCTCCAATCATCTCTCCAATACTTGATAATGGACACGCAGATGCTGCTCCGTCCGCTCCAGTATTTGAAGAAGAAGAGGATGGGCCGGACCAGTTGCCGCTGCAGCTGACGCCTAGCGCGCCGTCTCCGCCGATGCGGACGACGATGCCGCGTGCTTTCCACGAGATTTCCGTGTCTGCAACGGAGCCGTCAGCGCCTCCGAGCTGCGACGACGAGGTGGAAGTGGTGGACCCCTCGCGTACGACTCCGTCAGCGCCGTCGCTGTCGCCTACAGCGTCCAAGAAACTGCGTCGAGTCGTAGCGTCCCCGAGAAATCCTGCGAAATCGAATCCGGTGGCGAGAATGCCGACGAAATCCGTGACGACAGCGACGGTGGAAGGAGCGACTGCAGCAGTGCGGAGCTCGTTCGCCAAGTCCCACCTGGCCGAGAAGGAGACGGGGAAACACAGCATCTACCCGTCGATGCCGAAGCCAGCTGAGTCGACCGAGCGAGGCGCAGAAGCAAGTTACGAGCAGCTGCTGAGGAAGAAGCAAATCCGCGTCAAGCTGGAGCCTTTTGTCAACTACGAGATGAACTTGATGCGAGCGGAGGCGTCGCAGAAGCGTCAGGAGATGAAGATGCGGCACATTGAGACCAACAAGGGCGAATTGTATGCGCGGATAGAGCGCTACTTGTTCTCCGAGTACATTTTACACAACGCGGCGCACACGATGGACGAGTACAAGCAGAAGATCGACGTGCTCGTCAAGAAAGGTAAGCTATATAGGCTTCGTGTGCTGCCAGCGCGTGTCTTGCAACTGATTTGTTGAGTCTTCTGTCACCAGTGTGGACTTTGGAGAAGAAGCGCGTGTCGTCAGCGAAGCGCTGTGGCGACAACGTGGAAATCGAGCAGCAGATGGAGTTCCAAACCGCCAGGCTGGAGACTCTGCAGCTGGAAAGACTGAAGACTCATCTGGACAAGCTACGGCAACTGCGGACGGTGGAGGCGTCCATCCACACGTTTGACCGGGCGATCTCGTACTTGCACGTGGAGCAGTATCTCAACAGTGTGTTGCAGGAGCCGACCCTCGTCGGGTTCCTGAACAAAATGAGCTCGTCGTGTGGCGGCAGCAGCGGCATCGACGACTTAGATCTGGTTCCAGAAGGTGCGAATTTCTACGAAGGGATTCCTCAGGGCTCGTCGTTTGCGACGTCTGTGGACCACTTGAAATACTGCTTGGACGTGCTGATTTTCTTCGAGAAGAAGGTGACACTGGGGGAAGAAGGAGTCTTTGGACGCGTCCCACAGTCGTTCTATCGTGGCGAGCTGATCTGGCACAGCTCCCATGCTAAGACGCACTACAGCGCTGCTGGGATGGAGCGCAAGATCAAGTGCTACGCCTGTGGCAGCTTGAATGCGCCTATGAAGTCGAAGCAGTGGTGCAAATTGTGCCAGAGCTGCGATGTGGTGCTGTACATCCCGCCGTCTTCGGTCTCGACTAAGTCCACAGAGTGGTTCACCAGTGTGCTGCGCTTCCGCCAGTCGCTGCAGAAGTGGATTTCGACCTGTATGCAGAGTCTGATGCGCACCAAGTCGCTGCAGAATATGCCGTATCTCCTGATGCACGTGATGTATCTACCTCGGATCTCCACGGACGAGCGCTCGTGGTTTCTGCGCTTCCTGCAGTTCCCGCGTGCGATGGTGCGAACGGATGGCTCTCTACGCAGTGAATGGAGCGAAGACCTCGTGGATCATTACATTGCGATGCTACATCTGGTGTTCCACCCCGAGAAGCTACGGCGGATGTCGGTCATCGTGTCCAGCGGACCACCCAGCGGCGCTAAAGCGGCAAAGAGTGCGGAGGTCGGTGTAGCCGACAAGAAAGGCCTGGTCTCACCTGAGTGGGTGCTGCTGGAGAACCCGGAGATGCTGGACCGGTATTTTCTCTCCGACGAAGACTTCGTGGCAGTGCTGAATCAGTTTCCCAACACCTTTGCATTCGGACAGCTATTTAGCTGCACTTCGGACGTCAAGAAGTGTTTCAGTCGAGCGTTGACTTTGGTGGTGGAGCTGACGCACAGTTTGCGAGCCTTTCAGGAGTTCGAGAAGCTGCCGACGCGGATCGCGCAGCTCCTGGGTCAGTTGTTGTCTGACGCGGCTGAGCTCCCGGGATCGGGTCGCCCGTCTGATTCTTCGAGCTTAAAAGACGCGGTCTTCTATCCGACGCTGTTTGACCAACTGTTTCTTACGAGTCTGCACGGTCTCATGGCAGCGGATTGCAATCGCGTGGCCTGGAGAAGTTTGAGTTTATTTCCTTTCGGCTCGTTGTCTGAGCTGGCCAAGTGGGACGTGCTGGCTCTGCTGCTCTTCAACCTCCACAGTCTTCCGCTGGAGGCGAAAACGGCGTCGGGGTGGATGCAGTTTATTGGCAAACCGACGTCTCAAGGCGTGGACACGAAGGCTTTGGCACGTCGACATCTATACGACTTGATCGAGGCCGACACGGAGAGTGCCATGCACTTGTTGAACGCGGTAGCTAGTCTGGCTGCGTCATGCCAGTCTGGGACTGCGGGCGAGCGGCATGACCTCGTGTCTGTGGCGGTGCACGAGTTGTTCATGGCAGGATACACAGTAAAGCCATGTCAACAGGCTCTAGGCGAGAACGGCGAGCGCGCGGCAGGCCCTCTAAGCACCATCTGCTTGGCCCACCCGTGGGTCCTCTCGCTGCTGATCACGCTGCTTTTCAAGTTTCACGAGTGCGCTGCCACGTGGATTCACATCTTTGAGACGTTCCCGATCAATCGCTGGATGCCCACGCCCCAGGACTTGTTGAACTTACAGGAATGGCTGCTGCTTGAGGACACTACCGCTCCTCGTAGTGCGCTTGCTCGCTTCCTGTTGGACCACATCAATTGGGAGTATGACGTCAAGTTGCAGCGCTTGTTCACAGATGCAATGCTGCATCGGCAGGTAGCGCTCATGGTCGCGGAAGCTCTGGTGCTGTACAAGACGAGGAAAGAGCGGGCAAGTGATCCCGAGTCCGCGATCGTGCTGTCTGGCGGTGGCTCTCCACAGAAACTCGAAGTGACGTCAATTGCCAAGTCGATTCGTCGTGCGTTGTGGCTGGAGGAGACGGTGGATTTCGAAAAGTGGTGCTGGAAACTGATGCTCAAGTTGAGGTTTTACTCCCCGAAGACCCACGAGCCGTTGCTGCCACTGATCGACCTTCGTCATGATCGCTCCAGGGAAGCGTTGACTTTGCGTCGATGGTTTGCTGGGGCCTCCGTGTTGCGGGTGCTTTCTTCTCGGAAAGTCTTCCCGTTCTATACGTCGCTGGAGGAGCACGTGGCGCACTACGGAGTCGGCGACAGTGAGCGACGTAGGACAGCAGATCCAGCGATGGATGGCAGCACTGGCGCTCCTATTCAGCAGGAAGCACGCCTCCTTTTGACGCCTCAGAACCCCAGAGGAATGGACATTGAGTCCACCGTTTCAGCCACGGCAGCGCCACGCACAGAGCCCATTGTGGCCTATGTGGTCTGCCAGATGACGACGTTTGTGTTCAGTGACCGTCTCGATCGCTGGGAGCCTCTTCTGGTATTGCTCAAGAGCGAGTTCTTCCCCGCTGCGGTCAAGGTGCTGGAGAACTTCTTCCCGATCTTGTCTCGACTCGACAAACTGAAAGACTGCCCAGCAGAAAGCGAGAGTGAGTCCAAGACGGCGACGTCGAACAGCGAGGACGATGCGGAGGCGACGTCATCCTCGGACGAGGTGGAAGCTGAAGAAGACGGCGATTTGGTTGCGGACTTGGACAACGAGCTGGAGGCGTGTATGGCAGCGATGCAAGCTCTCTCTACCGACGAGCTGCTGAGTCTGCTGGGCTCTTTGCACGAGTTCTCGTACATCAACACAGACGAGCTTCATCGCATGCAGGAAGTGCTGAACAAAGGCTACATCGGCGGGTGGGAGAGCACGGCGAAGGAGCGGATCCTGGCGAAGCTTCGCTTTGTGCGTGAGTGCAGTCGCTACTTGCACCCTGTGGTGCTGCCTGCTCTCATCAACGAGTGCTTTCCTCAGTCGAGTCCCGTATCGGTCACGACGTCTGCGTTGTTTCACGGTGCCATGTCGTGGATCTCGTCGGCGTTGGGTGGAGAAAACAGCACAGGAGCGTTGTCACCGTCAGCTGCGTCATCGACGAGTGCAGCGTTATCGATCCGGAACTCTTCGCTGACTGCCACGACAGCGTCTCTAGCGATGATTTCCGGCACTGAGTACTCCACGTCGACGAAAGCGTTGTGTGCGCTGATCCGACGCTCCTTCGAGTACTCTGTGGACGACTCGACGCTCACGCAGGCGATGACGTTCTGGGTGAAGGCGCTGCTGCAAGTTCCGTTCTGGTACGAGAATGCTGCCTTCCGACATGTCTTGGACGTCATGTTGCACTGCAGCATGGAGAACTCGTATGAATCTTCTCTGGTGAAGAATAAGACGAGGAGTAGAGATACGTCCGACGTGTTGTACGAGCTGGTGGCTCTGATTGAAGCTGCGTTCGACTCTTACTGTCAGCGGATTGCACGGAGAGAAGAAGACGCAGGACAGCCAGAGCAGCAGTTCCTCGAGAATGAGCCTGTGATTGTCATGAGTTTCCTCCCAGCGGCAGCGGCGTCAGCGACGTTTGCGTCGATTTTTGGAGGTTCGTTCGACGTGGCGCAGTACGTCAGTGGGTGTCCGTCTCTGGCGCTGTGGAGCTTGCTGATTGAAACGCGCAAAGAAGTGCCGCTGTTCCTCGCGATGGGCCAACTGATGATCAGGTACGAGCCTAAGACGATGAAGAAGCTGGAGAAGATGAAGACGACGGAAGGTAGACTTGGTGCTGCACTCAGTGCAGTGCGAGAAGGGAAGAGTGTGGACGACCAAGCGGAGGAGACGATCTATGACGCGTCTTCAAGCTCTTCGCGTTTCGGGAACCCGCTGACGTTTGGCCACACGAGTCTGGATTCCTTGTCGCAGTACAAGATCTATCGCTGGTGCAACTACTGTCTGGATCTACCAGAGTCGGAGCCCACTCAAATCATCTACTGGCAGGTGTTCTTCGCGCTGTACTTTGCCACTGCTGGCGGATCACACGTCTTTGGCCACCACTTCCTCGATCGTACAGGGCGTAGGCCCAAGCGTGTGCATTTGAGGAAACATCTGCAAGGTAAACTACGAAAACTCGTCAACTACTGCTCCACGCAAGCCCAAGTGGTGCTCACTGCCACGAGTGGCTCCGGTAATGGCGCTTCGAGTGGTGTGGGCTCAGCTGTGGAGCTGAAGGAGCGGAAATATGCTCATTACGTGGCTCTCTCACAGCTGTACACGGCTATGGATGCGTGGATGGAGGAAAAGGACCCGAACCAGTGGCTGAAGGAGCAGGAACTGTCGGGCTTACCGCGTCATTACGAGGTGGAGCGACTTAAAGACGTCTTGCGGCTCAGTGATGCGTTGCTAAACTCTCCTTGCGATCAAATGAACTGGCCGGACCTGCCGCTGTGGACGAATTGGTGTGGCTTCGAGTTTACTCTGAGGCGGACGACTCCAAAGGTGAATGTGGGCGACGATATTGATGGCAGTAGGGACACTGTGACGCCTTCGCTGTCAACCCCACTAGCTTCAGTTGGCGAAGAAGACGACTTTGCGTTTGTGGAAGAAGCTGCGGAACTAGCACGACGACACAGCAGCTTTGGAGGGCTGGCGGGGCTGAACAGCCTCACTATCCGCCCCCTACCTTTACTGCCGGAGCTGTGCGGACCCTCAAGCTTAACGCCACTTCCGACAGTGTCCGTTGTCATGTCGAAGGATCGGTGCGTCATCACCCCGTCCATCCCGCTGAACAAGGCAGGCTTGAAGGCGGTGGCGATGAAATTCTCGGAGAACTTGTCGGTTCTGGTGGCGCTGGACTCTGAAATGGTGGATAGCGTCTCTCAGCTTTACGTCAGCAAGGCGAGGACTGTGACGCAGAGTTTGCCGTGTCCTGAGGGAGCGAACTGCAGCTGCCCGGCGGCGTTCAAGTTTGAGTTTCTGGAGTGGATGATGGATTCGAGAATGGACGACACAGTCCAGTCGATCCGCGCACAGGGCGAACGCTGCGATATGCCGTCGATGCTGGTGACGAATGTGGTGCCTTCAATACGTGAGCACGAGGGCAGTGCGGTCTCCGTAACCTCGTGCGCAGCAGAGCACTTTCTACAGCTCGATGGGGACGGCTTCATGCTGTCACTTCAGATTCTGCTGGTTGATCAGGTTGTGCGATCATTGGGGATTGAGCACGAGAAGCTTCAGCGCTTGAAGAAAGCACAGGAGAGTGAACTGCCGTTGGATATGCCGAAGATCGAGGAGACAGTGGAGGGCAGCAAGGAGGCAGAGGAGGAGGCTGTGGAGAGTGTAGAACTCACGCCTATCCAGAGGACGGAACAGGAGATGGAGCGCTTGCACAGCAAGGGACTCGAGTGGTTCCGTCTACTCACTGAACTGGACACTAAGCTGTCACGCATGGTGCCTCCGCTACGAGAAGCGCTTTGGCGATCCATTAAGCAGCTGGGAATGAGCTTTGTGTGTATCGACGAGCGAGAGACGTGCACTCTGCTCCAACTCATGCTCGAAGACCCGTCTCGGATAAACTTGCTGAGCGAGTGTTTCTCTCCGGCTGCCGCTCCCTCTCGTTTTGTCGAGATGTTTGCCAAGCTGATGAGTGCAAGCAGTTCCTCGAAGCTCTCGAGTGAAGAGAAGCTCACTCTGCTGCGTCGATTTGATTTCCAAGCGTGGCTGCAGACGAAGAGTCCACTGACACCCACGAAGTTTGACCGCGACACCGTCTTGTGCATAATTCTAGGCGATATAAGTCGCCAGTTTCCAGCAGACCGCAGCGTGGTGGATACTGGTAGAAAAACCAAGGACACGACGGCTTCCAAGCATTTGGACGAAGTGCTGCGTGTGTACGCGAAGGTTCTGCAGCTGATCTGCTCGGCGCATCTGGAAGACCATGTGGAGAAGGTGGTGCACGCTTTGGTTGGCGTCCACGACGACTATCGGTTCCAGACGTCAAGTGTGGGTAATGCAGAGCAGGCTGGGGGTAGTGAGGAATCCAGTGCTATAGGACTGACGACGTTGCCACGTCCAGTGGACGCTGTGGTTTGGGAAGCGTTGGTGGGGATTCCGTTGGCTGCCTGGAAGGAACTGCCGGTTATGGAGGTCGAGACTTGCGTGTCATTTCTGAGCCAGCACATGACGTCGCTGCGATGGCAAGGCGGCATGTCCTCTGGCAGTAACGGCACAACTGGAGGTGAGCTGCTAAGAGGAAAAGAGACGTCCAGTGCGTCAATCAACTACCCGATCGTGTACTGGCAGCGTCTTGGCGTCCTCAAGAGTTTCCTGGACGTGTTCACGCTGTGCTGTCGTGTGGCTCCAGAGCGGCAGCAGTGGAATTTGATCACTGCGTTCTTTGAGCCGCTGCTCTCGACGCTGTACCAGCCAGCTACGAACACCGAAGGCTCAGCGATCAGTGCGCCGTGGTCGGAGCAAGACACGCTGTCGACTGGGACAACCATCTGCTCGTGCTTTGTCGCTACGTGCTCCGAGTACCTCAAGCCTCGCGCGATGGCGTCAAGCAGCAGCGATACGGAGCTGACGCAAACGGCGAAGCTGTCGCAGATCTGGTCGTTCTACCTGACGGTGCTGGTTCCTCACGCTCCGACTCACATCTGCAAGCATTTCCACCAGTTCGTGACGCGGTTGGCGTGGGAGCACTGGTGCCTGACGCTGGAGATCGTGCAGCAGATGCGGGAACTCGTTCAGACGGAGAAGCAGCAGCTCACTGGAGCTGCAAGTGGTGCTAGCGACCGACTGGTTCCCCTGCTGCACTCGACTTTGTCTCCGTATCCGTTTGTGTCGTGGCTCGTGCGTGACGTGCTGTGTCGTACAACGTGGAAGGCTACGGACGCGTGGTTGGAAGCGCAGAGCGAGTCTGTGTGCTCCTCGTTCTTGCTAGAGTTCGCCAAGCTGTGCGTCGAGTTGGTGCTGGACATGCCTCACTTCCAAGTCAAGTCTGGCCACGCGGCGTCGACGAATGTTCTGCCTCCGTACTTTGTCAACTTCATCAAGCAGCAGTCCGCGTTCTGGGCCAAGTGGAAGATGACGATGGCGGACTTGGAGACGCTGCAGCGCTTCACGTTGGGCGCGTTGAAGGAGCCTCTGGCAAGTCGAGCGAGAAGCAGCACAGCTGTCGTGTCGACTGGGCCTTTCCCAGCGACACCAGGCGCTGCGATGATGCAGGATGCGTTCACGAGACTTCAGTTGGTCCTTCGCTTGTGCGGCCAGATCACGACCCTGCACCACGACAAGCTGCCCAAGCCCGAGAGTCTGCAGCAAGTCGATCTCGTGTTGAAGCTGCTCTTGGGCGTGTTCGAAGTGAGCGATCGTGGCGGTCTCGATGGGAATCGCTACACTTCGGAGCACGCCGCATGGCTCATGGTTTTGTACGGAGCGAGCTGCACGGCGCTGTATGAGAAGCTGGACGAGATCGTGCACTTCTACAAGCCCGAGCACGGCAAAGACAGCGGCGGTGACGGCGTTGATGTGGCGAGGGAAGGAGTGTCGGAAGAAGACTTGACAGGGACGGTCGAAGCAGTGCTGCGCTTCTGCAATCTGTCGTTGGTGGAGCCTTTCTTCAGGCAGATGCAGAGCAGTCCAACGTCAGGCAGTGGAGGCGGTGCGAGCGCTTCGTCTTCGTCGGGCAGTGGCGCGTTGAACTGGAACAAGTGCGGCAACGTGGTGTTCGTGGAGATCGACGCTCTGGTGCGCGACTTTGCGTCGAGTCAGAAGGCGCGGCAGCAGCAGAGCAGTCAGAGCCATCAGGTCTGCTCGGACCAGGAGGAGAGCTCGAGTGATATGACGGTGCGTGCTGCTCAGTCTCCAGCTGAGGCGATCGGCTCTCCTCTTGGGAAGGTGCTGTGGAGCTTCCTGGCCTTCCGAGGTGGAGAGCTAGCGTGCTTAGCTGCGTGTGGACGTGCGTTGGCTTCTGTGCACGTGATGAGTCAGGTAGCGGAGAAGAGCATCGAGAAGTGGATCATCGAGGAACGGAAGGGCGTGTGGGACGCGTTGGCGCTGCGACTGCAAGTGCCAGAGCTCAGTGGGGACGAGTTCGAGGCCGCATGTCTGGAGCAAGGCAAGCTGTTGACTATGCAGGTTCTCTTCCTACAGCAGCTACGTCGTGCTCCGGTATTGACCGAGTCGTTGAGTCTGGCGCTGCTGACGAAGCTCTTGAACTGGCTGCAGCGCGCTCGGTGCGGAAGGAGTGCTCTGGCGCAGATGAAGCTGCTGTTCCTGGCGGCCGAAGTGACGAACTTTGTGTGTAAACCGCTGGCGGAGGTGCTGCCGTCGACGCTGAAGAAGCAGATGCTGCGTCAACTGTGCGATCTGCTACTGGAACTGGGCCACGCACGGCGCAACAACGGCATTATGAAGGCCATCGGTCTCGGTGGCTCGCTGCAGTATGGCGTCGAGTTCCACGTCTCGTGCTTGGCAGCGGGTGTGTTTCTACGTCTGCAGACGCGGAACGGGGCGCCGTTACGAGTGGATGATCGGATCCCGTTCAAGATGACTCGCACGACCGAGAAACACTTGAAGTCTCTGGAGACGATGCTGCAGAGTAAAGACGCTTTCCAGTTGGGGCGAAGAGCGGACGCGTTGGTGGACTTTGCTCGAGATCCGCGTCGAAGTCTCGCAGACCAAGACGAGTTCTTTGTGACGCTGTTCTCGAGCATGTATCCAGCTCAGGGGTGGCTATTAGCTAAGTGTCTGCCTCATTAAAAAGAGTAATAGAAAAAAGGTAGCGTAGTCGAGCGAATTTAGTAATTTAGTAAAAGCATGAGAAGAATGGGAAGATGTACTCAATGGGTAAAGATGACTATGAAAGTTTTAGCTGACGGGGTTGTACTTGGTCTCTACTCTCTAGAGTCTAGACCGCTCATTAAGTCTTTAGCTTTGTCCCAAACATCTTTTCCACGGCCAGTATGCGCGTCTATCTCTCACTGCTTCTTGTCGTTGTACTAACAAGCAGCCAAGTCATCATGGCCACGCTCAGTAAGTGACGAGGAGGAATCACTCGGCTCAAGAGAAAATCTGGCAGAGGAGAGAGAAGTTGCCGATGTCGTCGCGAAAGTCCGCAACTGGCATTTCGAGCGGAATTACGCTAAAGCAGAGAAGTTGGAGAAAGTGTACAAGAATACCCCAACCTTACAGTATGTTCAAAATCATGGGACTTGAAACAAAGGCTAACCCCCCACCAAAATTCGCAATTGATGAAATTCGAAAAGAACAAAAAGCTTTTGGAACAGAAGAAAGGCGCCGTCTGTGGATGATGCAGCAAACCTTGCCCCCCCCCCTCTCACTTAAAATATAGACGACCGTAAATACATGTACAGTCGTGCACCTCGTTTTCGGCCCCGGTATGGCTTAATAACCTGCACAATCTAATGATTGGGCCACATGCATTGCGCAAATGAGTTGCCCATCTCCTTTGGACCAAATAACCTTAAGGAGGGATGAAACGCCGCACTTCCGCCACGATGTATCAGCTCAATCACTTCACCATACAACAGCTCATTATAAGTTTTGTCGCAAAAGGCCATGGCACGTCGCCCGTCCGCCTATTCTACGTTGAATCTCGCCAATAAGCATACATTGTGCAGGAAGGCAGCCACAGAGCCATCATGGACACTGTCTCTGTTTTACAAAGGCGAGACGTATACCCCCGTCAATATTTATACAGTGATGAAGTGGTGCTCAGAAGGTTGGCAAGACGTATCGACAATGACCATACGAAACTGTTGGAATCACACTGGTATTGTGTCGAAGATGGATTTGATATTTGTACTTAATTAAGGTAATACAAAGTAGTACATTTGGATTCCATCTGCTCCTCTATAAATATTCGCAGCTCGTAGACTCTATATGGTCCACCCCGCCGAATACGAGGTGCACGACTGTACATGAACGACTTGGTTGCGATTATTGATGAAAGGTGGTCCACTGTTAATATTATGTGTTTGTTATTTTCTTTTTCTATTAAAACTTAAGCTTCGGGTTTTCGTGATGTGCTGTATACCCGCTCCTAAAAAAGTACCCTAGCTCATTTTCAGTTGGTATAATTTATATAATTCCAAAAAATATACCCGCTCTATTGAATTAGTAACGTGTGGAATTTCTGCACAACAACACTTCATTCTGAGAAAGGGAAACTAGAAATTTGAATCTCACGTCGTATGCGTCAACTGGTCATACTACATTTAGAGCGAACATCTTGTTGTTCACCCCCATACCAGTTGCCGTTCAACACGGAAAGATACATCGAATGCTGACGCGCTCCTGCGTCACACCATAACCCAGCGTCACGGTGCCATTAACGTGCATTTCCACGATAGCGTATGCCTTTGGCCACCTCACGGTGTTTGCTGCCTCGATCTTTTGCAGCTAACCGAATCATTACTTGATCTCCTGGGTGATAGAATTGATCTAAACGTTTGGTATCCTCGCGCTCGTTGTCTCTTAAAATAGCTTCAAATTGGCGCTTCGTGTGATAACTCCAATTCGTTTCATGAAGCTGTCGCGTAATCAAGTCTTGCCCAAAGACCAAGTGTGCTGGTGTTGTATCCAGAATCGTGTGAAAACTTCACGTACAGCGAATGCAGCGTACTGAATAACTTGACGCTAGTCTGTCTGCGGATAACAGCGAATACATTTGTTTAGTACCAAATGTACTCGCCCACAAATTGCATTAGCTTAAGGATTCTTGGTGGATATTGTTTTTTTTCGGCTTGACTGCATAGCTCGCAAGCATCTCGCGGGACTCTGTTGTGCTGAGCTCATTACCTCGATCGAATACAGCTTCCTTTGGTCTTGGATAACGACATAACCACGTCACGTCGAAGTTCTCTGCAGTGGTTTTTCCTCTGTTGTTCTCTTGGATCAATACTTCTAATCATCTCGTGGCTCACCAATCACAGTTAAGGCGTAGTATCTGTCACTACCATACGGTCCCATGGTATCCGCATGCACTACATTGAATCGATCGACGCTATGCAATTGACGCGGTGGCAGTTTGCCATACGCTTGTGGCCCACCGTGTAGCTTGGCACGCCTACATGTTAAGCACTTCTTCACGAAATTTACGAGTGTACGTTCCATCCCGGACCAGTAGTAGAACGACTTTATCGTGTGATATTGGCGTTTCGCACCTGGATGAACCAGCTGAGTGTGGTACCATTCCACCAATTCTTGACGTAATTCGTTTGGAATCACAGCACGATGTTGGCAAGTAAGAAGACGTGCACCCATTATGTTCTGGATCTGATAATTGGGATTGTTGGTGCCGTTCATACATAATTGCACTATGGTTTGTGTGGTTGAGTCTTCTCCCTGGTGCTGCTTGATGTAATTTCCTTCGAGAACACACTCAACCGGATCGATCAACATGGCTTCTAGCTCAGCATCTCCTGTCTTCTTGCTCGTGTTATACGTCATTCGAGAGAGATCATCCGCAGCGATACTGGCTTCCCCTGGAATGTGCTTGCACGTGATATGGTGTTCAGACAATAGTAAATTTCATCGCTTGACCCGCAAGGAATTTTCCGTTGGATAAATGAAGTTCTTATGGTCTGTATGGACCACAATTGAAAATCCAAGTAGCATTGACCTGTACTCTTTCAAGATATCAACCACAGGCAGCAACTCCAATTCAGTCGTTGTGTATTTCTGCTGCGCTTTAGTGAGGCTTCTAGAGTATGTCGCTATCAGCTTCCCTTGTTGCTCGATCAATCCACCCACTCGCGTCTGCATAAATCTCGAACGGCTGCGAGAAAGCCGGAAAGGTCAGTAGTAGGCCTTTGCTAAAACTTTCTTGATCCCTCCAAAAGCGTCGTCTTCGCTCGATGTCCATTGAAACACAACCTTCGGTGACGTTAACACCTTGGCTCCGAGCGTCGTAAGATACGCCATTCGTTTTTTTTATATGTCGTACCTGACGACATTGCGCGATTTATATTAGAAAATGGCTCAGATATGATTACCACATACAGTACTTTAATCAAATGTTTCCCCAGCATCCGCAACATATAAGATGCGAGAGGTCTCTGCGACAAGCTCACATAACCGGGTCAGGTGGATGACGGGTACCAGACCACTCATCCGAGAATTTGCTTCCTAGCAGGAATGCGGTCCAGTCGCCGCAAAAAAACCGCCACCCCCGTCGCGGCAGCACATGACGTTGACTTCGGAAGCTTGTGGCGATAGATCGCGGCGGCGGGGTGGACGTTCAAGCGGCCAACGGTATCCAGCCTGAGTGGACATATACCAGTCCAAAGGGCGCGAATGGGTTGATAGGAGAACGCGCCGTGGTGGAGCACGCCTTAAGTCGGACTTGCTGGTCGAGGACGAGGAGGATTCGGCAAATGCAGTAGATGGTGGCGGAGACGAGATTGTAGAAGAAGAGGGCGGCGGCGAGGAGCATGTTGAAGTGGAGGGCGGCGAAGGTGGCGGTGACGACGCCTCCATTAGACCCTCTCAGATTGACTGCTCTGCTGTCGCAGAACACCATCGAGCAGTTGTTTGGCGCCTCCGATGACTCAGAGTCTGAACTCTCGCAAACCGCCGTAGCGAGAACATTTAATCTCTCCCCTGGAGACCCGGAAGATGACGAGGAGCAGCAAGACGCGGCAGCCAGCTTGCGCCTGCTGTCGGACGCGTCGGGACGGGGGAGTGAGGGGGGAGTGATGGGAAGGACGAACGTGCTGTCATGACCCCTCCCACGGCGAGTGCTGAAACCCCGCGCTGACGTCAATGTGTTGCAGGACGGAAAGAGTAGCAGTGAGTACGAGGACTTCAGCTCTGATGACAGCGATGGGATTGGTATCTGCGATGAGGACGGTGATTCTGAAGGCGACGAGTTCGACGAGGAGGAGGATGAACTCTCTGACAGTGAGGCGGGGGAGATTGATCAAGATTTCCTTGCGTCACTTCATGTTGGCGGCGATGATGCACTGAGCAGAGCTGCTGCCGAGGAACGAACCAGAGCTCTGCGGGCGATGCAGTGGACCCCAGCCACGACAGAGTTTGAGATGGATACTCCTTCGTACCCTGGGCTGGATGCGGAGGAGTCAAGGCCTGTCGGTGAATTGCTTGATGTCTGGATGTCTCATCTTCTAACACTATTCTACTTTGTGCCGAAACCAGTGTGGGTGTCGATCACCAAGGAGACCAACCGCTACGTTTTGCAACAAGTGCAGAGGCGAACAGAGAGGATGGCTGCGCGGCAGAGTGGACGCCATCGTGAGACCGCCGCACAAATTGTTCGGCGCTTGCAAGCAACGCAAGTGTACGGTACTCACGAGATTCTGCATGTGGTTGGGCTACTAGTGGCGCGCATGCTGTGCTCCCAGAAGAGGCGCTTCAGTGCGCATTGGACAGTGGTCGAGGACGGCGCCCTACCAGCTGGACTCTTTGGGCGGTACATGACGCGTGACCGCTGCTAAAAAATCCTGCGTGACCTTCACTTCGTGGACAACACTGCTGAGCACGGCCGCAATACGCAATGAAAACTGCGTCCTGACGTGGACAAGATCCAAGAACGCTTCTTGGCACGGTGGACCCTACCAGCCATCTTTTCGTTTGATGAAGGCGTGCTTCCTGCCACGTCGAAGCGCAACGCCACTCGAATGTTTATGAAGGACAAGCGGTATCGATACGGCTCCAAGCTATTTATACGCAAAGACCGCGTACTGTCACAATTTGTTTAACGTTTTGCGATGTCGTAACCTACCGGTTAAAGCGGAGCTAACATTTCTTGATGTCGTAACAGTTGTAGACTTGAAATTTATGTGGGCAAGTGTAAGAACGTAGATGGGAGTGATACCGGAATTGATTACGAGACTGAAGCAGCAGCCGGCTTACGGAATCTGAAGACGGCGCTCACTCCTCAATCGCGATACAACTGGCATGCTGTCGTCATTGACAGATATTACTCCTCCATTCTTCTCGCTGTCGAGCTGCTGAAGATGAAGATGAACGCTTACGTGGTTGGAACGATCATGACTAACCGCTTGGGGTTCGACAAGAGCACCACATCAGTGAGCAAGACCCGCCCATCAAGCATCCCGCGTGGCTACTTTGTCTTATTGCGCTCTGTCGCGGTCCCCACCATGACCTCATGCCTCTGGTGGGACCGGAAGCCTGTCTACTACCTCTGCACGGGATCTACCACGACGCCGACCACTATCGAGAGGAGGGTAAAGCGGGTGGGCGCGATACAAGTGGGGTGCCCTCAGTCTGTTAAGGACTAATAAGACTGGATGGGCGGAGTTGATCGCCATGATCAACTCCGTCTCCAGAGTTATTCCCTCCAAATGCCCACGCGGTTCACTAAGTACTACAAGGGGTTGCTCTTGGGGTTCATGGACCTGGCCCTTGTAAACGCATACCTGACCCACAAAGAGGCGGCCAGAATCAAGGGAGTAGTCGCCATGAAATGCTCCGAGTGGTTTGCAGTCCTTCAGAACCAGCTTCTGCAACTTAAAACCAAGGCGTTTGCGGGGATCAACTACGCCACCTCGGTCCAGCCAGAAACGTAGGCGACCACCAGTCCGCCTGACACACGGGCTCCAGCAGTCCGAAGACCGGGTTACCGCCAGCGGCGTTCAGAAGTGCCGCCAACGGCCGTGCAGGGTCTGTGCGCTTCTGCGCACCGGAAAGAAACGTCTTTTGCGACGACTTACCACTGCGAGCGTTGTTCCATTGACGCCGCAAAATGCTGGTTGTGCAACAAGATCTGCCGCGAATACAAGGGCGTCGCCAAGACCTATTTCAAGATATGGCACGACAACTTCGGCGCCGGGCAGGACATTCCGGCTAATCTGGGGAAGCGCGTCGTGCTGCGCCGGCCTGGCAATAATGTAGGAACGCGCAAGAAGATACGGCGGGAGCTGCAGCTTCCCCGTGAGAAGGGAATCGATGGTAGCGACGCTGACAATGACGACGATCGTGAGTAAGCGTGTAGGCTGTGTTTCAGTTGATGAGCTGTGAGATTCGTGTGTTTAAATGCAAAGATTGTTGAATCAACGTACCTTTTATGTGTTTTTCGAAATGATTTGCAGAATAGTGAGCCCCTCAGTCATCTGTTGACTGCAAGTGGAGTCGGCTACGACATTAAGCGGCGATTGCTCTATCACAATGCCGTATCACTTACGACATTGGCCAAAACCCCTGCTGACAATATATACACATATCCCGACATGAAACACATGGCCTTTACCAAATATAAGTGATTCTGTAAGCCGTAACTTACGACATGCGCTTATGCGTCTGAGGCGAGTACCGTTCGGAAACAAGGTGTTAATCGCGTCAGGCTTCAACATTGCTGTCTTACTCGGTATCATTTCCCCGGTAGTAGTTTATCATACCGATAAACCGACGCAGCTCTCTCTTATTCTTCGGCCGTTGGATCTGGAGAATGGATTGGATATTTTTCTCTTGGGGCTTGATCCCGTCTGCACTAATGATAAAGCTTAAGTACTCCACACTAGAGCAGAAGATACGGCATTTCTTACCATTCAGCGTCACGTTGAGCTCCTGCATACGTGAAAGCACCACTCTCAGATGTACTAAATGATTTTCTGCCGTTCTGGAGAAAATGAGAATATCATCTACATAGACGATATCAAAGTCAAATCTCCTTGAATTCTTGACATACACGCTTGGTATTCGTCTGGCACCGTTAAGGCCCCCATCAGGAATCTTTTATACTGAATTTACCAAACGGCGTACAGAATGCAGCAAGCGACCTGCTCTCCTCAGCCAGTTGCCTAGCATACTATCCCACGTTAGCGTCCAGTGTTGAGAAGAACTATGCACCACCAAGTCGAATGAAGACATCCCTAATTAGGGGTGCGTAATATGGGTTACGCTTCAAGAACTTGTTCAAAGCTCTGAAGTCAGTCAGCAATCGCAGACGTTCATCTGGTTTCTTCATGAAAAACGCTAGGGAAGCCCACTCGCTATCAAAGATCTGCTCTAACACGTCGACTTGCCTGAGCCGATGAATCTCTTTTCGTGCTGCATTCTCTTCAGACCTTGGCATCGAATACAGGCGAGCTTGGACAGGCGTGTACTGCTCTGCCATAAGCAGAATATAATTTGGAAAAGTCATCCGTCCTAAGTGCCCATTATACAGCTGCTCAAAATGTGTGAACAGAGCCATAATCTCCTCGAATGTGGATTGGTCAATATCTGCCGTTCCCACCAGATCCTTCTGACGTGTCGTTGATTTCTTTCACCTCCTCCTGCACGTCTTGGCCTCTTCTTTCATCACTCACCCTGGACTTGTTTCCCGTGCTCACTGCCACAGTGTTGCCTTTCCACTCCACCATTCCGTCCCGGAAGTTGACAATTACGCCGAGTGCACTCAACAGATCCCGTCCAATCACCATCTCGTCTCTGGTGTTGTTGATGACTGAAAATGTGTACGTAATGCGAGATCCATAATTTTAAATCCATAAAACGGAATTGAACTGGCGTTGACCCTGCGGCTTTGACATAATAATCGACTTGCTCATAAGTCAGATCCAAGGGAGTCACTTCGAGCCCAAGTTGCTAATAGATCGCATTGATGAAGCTTGTTCCGCAACATGTGTCAACTAGCGCCACGCGCTCCTGCATTGTCTTACACAGTCGGAAACGAAGACGCATGGGCGGCTTCCTGCCTGGCTCTCTGTCCTTCAGTAAGCTACTGAGGACCTTGCACTCACTTTCATCGCTGAACAACTAATCTGAGGTCATTTCTTCGACGAGTATCATCTTCGCCTCCTCCGTTTTCTTTGCTACTGACCACTGACTACTACCACCTCTCGACGCATTTTTCTGCTGCGTAAAGTACTCGCTGTCACTATGCGAGCTTGTCTTGTGTAAGCGACACCACTTGTCACTGTTGGTCTTATCACGAGACAGGAACTGTTTGGACGAGTTTAACTCCTTTTTTCGTGTCGTAGCCTGGAATGTTACTGTTCTCGACACATCCGCACCTTCGTTACCTTCTTCGCTCATTGCTACTTTCTTGCCTTCCTTGCCTCCACAAGGATCGATATATCTCAAAGTGACAGCCCTTGGCTCGCCGAGGGGCTCTCAGCAAGGTGTTAGCTGTAGGTCGTGGCTTGCAGAGGACCTGAGCCTTATCTGGCAAAAGAAGAAGTAAGTTGTATTAAGTATGTATGCTGCGTGGCTGCCCACAACAACACTTCAATTTGAGAAAGGGAAAACTAGCAATTTGAATCTCACGTCGTATGCGTCAACTGGTCATACTACAACTGGAGCGAACCTCTTGTTAAGCCTTCTCATTACCCACGCTCTCCTGGCTGCACCACACTGGTTATAGTAGCAATGATCGCTGTATTTGCCGCGGAGATTCCCGTTCATCCATTAGCTCGCCCTTTAGCTCTCCACACCTTGACACTCTTGTTAATCAACCAGATCACAGCTTATATCATCGCCCGCACCAGGCTTCGCAGCCAGTTCATATCATGAGCGATGCGTGGCCGACCAAAGCAGTTAAATGCCGACGCCACCATACAGCTTCTTTCGTGGGAAGGCGATGGGTTTCACCGTTGGCAAATGCTTCTCCATAAACGCCACCGCTCCTTCGATCCTACCTTCGTCAGTGCGCTGGAAGATAATGAAACGCTCTGCGTTGCCCGGATCGCTATCATCGTGGGCAGCGACTGAAGCGGGCAGGCTAAATCGGTTGCTCGACCTGCTGTCGAAGCCCGTAAATAATCACCAGTGGACAATCGTTTGGAGCTCCAACGACATGCCATGGAATATCCCCCCCCGCTCCTCGTGGTTGATTCGTAGGCCTAACTGTAACGGGGTACGTAGCCCTAAGTGTACCCTGGTTACATGAAGTGTGACACTTCACACTTCAGGAGTATGACACGTCATACTCCGGGATATTTGGTACAAGGTACCAAGGTCGTTCAAAGCCAACCATTGGTTAAATGACATTGCATTTCTATAGGTAACTAATAGTTTGTATTAAATCCAAACTTAACCTACCTATAAATATACTCAGTTTACAATCTACCTTATTTAGGTCACTTCGCTCTCTTTAATTAAAGAGGGGACCTGTGAACTGCCGTTCACTGAGAGTTTGTATACTATCGGAAGATAACCTCCTCTAGCTCAAGGTGCTGTGTGACCCCGTCACACTTGGTAGCACTAGTAGTCAATCCACGCCACCGCGGGTAGACTACCTGAACCTCTCCGGAGTTCGTTGCCATGACTTCTCCCATATGAACGACTCTCAGTTCTAGTCGGTTCGGAAAATGGCAGGCATCTTCGGGATGGAGGCCCTGCAGAGCCTGGTGGTATCAACACCGGCTGAGCAGCTCGAGCGCATCAATGCATTCGACGCGTACGAGCAGGGCCTCATCGCCCATGTGCGGGAGAACCTGCAGGCTCCGGCGGCGGAAGCAAATCCACCTCACTCGAAGCCAATACGGCTGAAGGTTAAGCCGTATGAAGGGAAGGAAGGCGAGAGCCTTCACTTCTGGGTCCGAGAAGTAGAGCTCGCGATGGACGCGGCTCTGATCTCGACCGAGCAACTGCGTGTTGCTTTTGCACTCTCCAACCTTAGCGGCCGTGCTAAGAGTTGGGTGTACACACGGGAAGCAACATCCCCTGGATGTTTCACATCCTGGGCTCAGCTGTGTGAACAGCTCCGAGCCGCGTTCCTCCCGGCGAACTACGAGTACCGTCAGCGTTCGCGCTTCCTCGCGTGTAAACAAGGAAGGCGCGAGCTGCACGATTATGTGCAAGAGATACGGGAGCTCACGGCGTCCCTAGTGGGAAACCCACTCAACGAACACATCAAGATGACTGTGTTCATGGACGGCCTTCGAGTGGGCCCCGCACGCACTCAGCTGTTCCGGGTGCAGTCAAGCACCCTTGAAGAGGCGATTCAAG